ATGTAGAATTCACTCTTTTCACATGGCGAGCAGGCAAAGGAGACTCGTCCACCCTCGACTCTGCGGTCCGACGCCCTCGCACACACACATACCTCGGAGGGAGCGGGGAAGGAGGGAGGGGAGGAGGGAGGAGCTGAGGGTGACATGAAACGCTATTCAGGCGCCGCACGACGAGCCGAAGGATTACGGAAGGATTCCAGGCGAAGGGCTTCGGTCAGGATTGGCCATATGGGCGTTATTGAGCAAGGGAACGGGGGGAGAGGGAGAGAAAGAGGGAGAGGGAGAGGGGGAGAATCGCCGCGAATAATCTCTCATATTATATTATTAAATTCTCACGCACCCAGCGAAAAAAAAATACTAACGAGTTCTTTGAATCAACAAAGTAAAAAAAAAATGAATAATTGCGTGCGAATCGTCCGAAGCGCCCGAAAGTCCTTGCCATGTTTCAATAATTTAATTGATTGAGGAACTCTTTTGAATGTGTAGTATGTGTATAAAATTAAAATTACTCGCACTTTTGCATCGTTCGACAAAACAGGCGGTGTGTCGTGTACTTACAAAGAGTCCGCAGCGCGGCAATTGGCTGCTCATCTACCTGGAAAAACAAAATGAATAGAATTAACATTTTTTTGCAAATTTGGTTGCTTAGTGCGGACAAGATAAAATGTCCTTGCTTATTAGAATCTGGCATTTGCTGCTTTTTTTAACATGTGTAAATCCATGTACAATTTCTCAGATCATTCTCCAGAAGCTGCACTTAAATTTCATTATGAACGTGCTGCCCGTGTTACAGAATGATTTTAGAAATGCAGGCAAATCAAGTGTATTGCGGGAAAAAATGCCCGTCATAGGTTCAGGATTTTGCGCCATGCAATATGTGCCACTTTATCGACAAAACAGCTGACTGGTCCATACATTGCGCTGGCACAAAAATTTTCCGCTCAAGCGAGAAGCGAGTCCGTAAAAAACCGTGTGCGGCTAACGCAATCGAATCATTGGGTGGGTGCAAACAAGAAAACAAGCAGTACACTCTGTAAAAAGAACAATAAAGTAAAAGAGGCAAGGCTCGGAGCGCGTAAAGTGGCTGATCCTAGATGAAAATACCCCGACGGTTTCCCAGGACTTCAGTAGCGCGCCATTCGCTCCGCTATCTCGCGTGGCGGAGCGGGGCGGGCGGGGTACCAAGACATTTGTAAGGACTATTGTCAAGTCACACGTCGGGGCACGCGGTCCGCGTGGCAAGGTGGGGTGAGAGGGGGGGGGGGGCGTCTGGAACACTAGGCGAGCAGCTCGAAAGAATCGCAAAGACACACACTCGCGGCGGTAGTGTGGCGCGCACAGCAGAGGTATTTTGAAAACTATTTCGCATCTTGCCGTCAGTTGAAATGCCCGCGCGCTCTTTATGGTAATTATGAGCAAGGAGATATAATTTTACACGAAAATAGCGCAAGTCGTCTTAACTTTTGTTTTGGGTGTATTCATTCCTCGACGGGTGACCAGTCTGCTTTAACTGGACAGGTTCAAAAAGGCGTGTCATAAGTACCCCCGTTTGAAAAATCGCGCACGCGCGCAGACCCACACACGTTCACCTACACCCTCACACACACACACACACACACACACACAAACACACACACACAAACACACACACGCAGGTTTGCCGTCAATTACCGAAGTCCGCGTGGTTCGCTAGTCAACAATACAGGTCTCTCTGGCCGCAGAGGGAAGTGCACCGGCCAGAGAGCGAAGTAGTGGCGGGGCGTGGCGTGGCGCGGTGCGACGTGGCGTGGCGAAGCGTGGCGTGGCGTGGCGCGGTTGCATCCGACGCCGCGCGCCATTTACTACGAGTTGTCAATTAAATTCCACTAAACGGACAAGACCAGTGGCGGCGGACCCAGAGGACCCCGTGCGCTGCTATCTTGAATGTGTGTCCCATTGTCTTGCCCAGCGGTGGCGGCTTTGTGCATCAAAGATAAGCCCTTTGCCTTTCTCTCTCTCTCTCTTTCTCTCTCTCCTCTTGTGTCTGCCTCCTTCATTCTTCTCCTTTCCTTTAAGTTCACTCGACCCATTCCTTACCCTGCTCTGACGACGGACAACGGCTCATCAATTTCGCAAATGGTCAATTTTCGATTTTTTTTCCTCTGCTCGTGCATGACGGTTTGCCTCACTGTCAACAGCACACAGTTGCTTGACGCGTTTCTAGTAGGTTCGCGTCATGCCTTAAACACACCTAGAAATAACATCTCGTACGTCCGGCATACGCAGTTTTCAAAACAGCTCTTTTCCCACGCTCTTGGAGCGCCTGATGGGTAGGCAAACGTCTTCCCTGGAGTGCGGGCACGTACTGCGGGGTGGCCTACCCCGAGTCTCGCAGGCGCCGAGCCCACGCCTCCAAGAGCTCAGAATTTAACGTTGTGGAACTGGAACTCACGAAGTTTGTCCTGCATGTCAAACTGTACAGCAAAAAAGTTGACTGATTGAACTGTAAAAATAATATCTTCCAATTTAAACTTTAAAACGTTTTAGTTCATTTGCAGTTTAAAGTATGACCTTTACTTTTGCAGTTTATAAACTTTCATTTTGCTGCGCATTAGGAGTTGAATTGTTGTAATGTGCGTAAATTTTAAGTTCTAAACTATATGTTTTTCGTTATTTTTGTCAACCTTGGTGCTCAGCTCACAACATAATTATTTCAGATCTGGGGCTGGACAAAAAGAAAGAGGTGAGAGCTGTACGAGAGGGGGAAAGAGAGAGGGGAGGGGAGAGGTAGACAGAAAGAGAAGAAAGAGGGAGTGCGTGAAGGAGAGAGAGTGAGAGATAGAGAAGAGGCCCGACGTGAGCGACCTCCCTGCAGTGCTTTCAACAGGACACGAACAGCCAAATGGACAAGAAATTCAATTCTTTCCCTGAAAGGACGAAGAATGGAGAGCGGGCCAAAGCAGGGGCAGCTCTACGGAGAAATGTGTGTCGACACGGGGCAGGGAGGGTAGAGCAGAAGGGGAGGGTGGAGGGAGGGGAGGAGGGAGCGGGGAAGGAGGGAGGGGAGGAGGGAGGAGCTGAGGGTGACATGAAACGCTATTCAGGCGCCGCACGACGAGCCGAAGGATTACGGAAGGATTCCAGGCGAAGGGCTTCGGTCAGGATTGGCCATATGGGCGTTATTGAGCAAGGGAACGGGGGGAGAGGGAGAGAAAGAGGGAGAGGGAGAGGGGGAGAGAGAGAGAGAGAGAGAGAGAGAGAGAGAGAGAGAGAGAGAGAGAGAGAGAGAGAGAGAGAGAGAGAGAAATGAGGCGGGAGAAGGATGAAGAGGTAGAGGAGGTTCAGCGTAATGCTGATGAAGGTCGCCCTTCTAACGCGCCCCTCATCGACTGACAATGTTTCCCGTCGCACTGCAACAAGCATGTGCGACTAAAGAGATTTAAAAATCTAAAATAAACTGGAAAATCTTTTATAACAAAATTCTTGAAAAATTTCGAAAAAGGACTTGAATTGAATGGTGTTTCTCGTAATGCGCTCCACTAGTGCGTAATTGGAAGTATAGAAGCGAATATCCATGAGCGGAAGCAGTAGTCCATTTAATGATTCAACAGGTAACGCGATCCCCGTGATATCTGGGCAGCTTTGTCATTTAACTCCCCCTTGCAGGCAGGTCACAGTCACGGCGGGGGTAAGGGCGCGAACTAAAACTGTCCTAAAACTAGCACATACTGGGAAAAATAACACTGGAAGGAATATAGGCACAACCAACTTTAACTCTAAACAAAAACATTTCGTAAGAGCTTCCTAAAATGTGCAGCCAGAGAAGGCTGCTCTTCTATCAGGCTTTTGCTTCAATCACGTGCAAAATGGAATTAACTGTCTCAAGAATAATAAGCGCACGTAGTACATGAAATAAGCCCGTTTGAATGTAGTGCATGTTCTTCATTCCAAGACGAACGATCTCGGTTTGAGACGAAATTGGACTTGAATTAAGTGCTGAGGAGAGTTAAAAAGAGTGCGCATCATACAAGAACACGCTTTTTGGGGTGTTTGGAAGAAATTGTCAGTGAAGGGATTATTACAGCAGACACAAATAATGTGTATAAAGGCATTTAAATGGAAATAAACTAACGACTTTTCAACTTGTCTCTTCGATTTCCGGCGACCGTTGAACCAAGGTTCAAGCATTTTCCCAGAAAATGTGTCTATACAGACCAGCCTTCTGTCTCTCTCCGTCTCTCGCTCCCTCATCCACAAAAGCTCGGCGATAACATCCAGTCGTGTCACCGCCCTCGTCACCCCGACTCATCCTAGGAGGGCGCAATAATCCATGTGTACTCATCACCTGAGAGGGATTACACTCGGAGGGAAGGAGGAGCCATTGGGGAGAGGGAGAAAGAGAGGAATTGAGGGTGGGAGGGAGAAAGGGTGAGAGAGAGGGAGATAAAGCGAGAGAGAGAGAGAGAGAGAGAGAAAAGGGAGAGAGGGGGGGAGCGAGAGAGAAAGAGAGAGAGAGAGAGAGAGGAGAGAGAGAGGAGAGAGAGAGAGATGGGGGAGAGAGAGAGGGGGACAGAGAGAGACAGAGAGAGGGAGAGAGGAAGAGGGAGAGAGGGACAAAGGGACAGAGAGAGAGAGGAAGGGAGAGAGGGAGAGAGAGAGAGGGAGAGAGAGAGAGGGAAAGAATAAAATACAGAAATACAGAGGAACCTCTTTTCCCAAAAGGGTTCGCAGAGTGTTAATCCATGGCGCGTTCTTCACACCCTGCAGCTCTTCTTTGGCTAAATCAAGTAACCGCGATATTGGTTGTGGCACAAACAACAACGACGACGAGAACACACCACCCCGTGCGGCAATAACAAGGCCCTCCCCAATAACGCCGCGCCGCCACCAACCCCTTGTTCGGCTGGAATAAGCAGGCGATTTGCCGGCGCGCCGGAGCGGCTGGGGGCGTCGAGTGTTGTTCCCGGCGAGCTATTATACTCTGCAGGGCTGGGGGCGCCAGCCAAAGGGGTGCGGCAAGCTGGTGAGCTTACAGCGCCCGCCCCGCACGCGCCCACACGGCGGGCACCCCCGGACACAATGATGACCGTGCTCGGTGCGCTCAGCCTCTCGGCCCCGAGACTGTTTCATCAACAACGCCATTGTGCGGGCAGGGCAGAGGGTTATTTGAGCGAGTTGCTGTTTCCTTGGGCAAGAAGGGGCTTCGTGTCTGTCCGTCCGGCAGCCTCAACCCCCCTCTCTCTCTCCTCCCCC